TCGTCCTCGGTTGCCTCGTGCACATATCCTTTAAACAAGAATTCTGCTATCTGCCAGCGTACAGTATCGTACAATGCTGGATGCTTCTGTAGCCGTTTCTCCAGACATCTTAAACGCTTTTCTGCCATTGGTCAGCTTTCCGGTAGCTCGATATAGTCGTGTTTCCACAACAACCCTGTTTCGAACTTTCCGCTCTCAGTCCTTGCTGTAGTCTCTTTCAATATCTTCCGGGCCCGTTCCGCTTCGGCACCTTCCAAATTAGGTGCCAACGCAATCCCGAGGCTCTCTAGCGAAAAGAACTCCCGAACATATTCGTGTAGATCAGCGGTCGCAGTATGAGCACAAATATGCATCTGCCGGTGTTTCAGCTGTTCTCCCCCTTATATGCTTCCATATACGGCCCAGCCAATACGAGTCTTCGATGAGATAGGTTCTTGTGCACGACCTTCTCGCAGCTTCAGCGTGGCAAGGAGATGCGAATTGTTGAGCCCAATCAGTATCCCTGGAGTAGTAGACTTGAAGCTCTGTACAGGCAACTTCCTCAGGTGTTTGTACTGGTTTGTCATCTCATCGTAGTTCAGGGATTGCTCTGGTAGCCCTAGACCATCCACTGTGAAGGCTCCTCCGAGTTTGAAACGCTTGTTGCTGCCCTGTGCGGAAATCTCCATCTGTACCATACGCGCGTCCGATATCTTCTTGTTTATGCCGCTAGTCCACTGGATGCAAAGTGGCTCCGTTTGCCCGTCCAGACCTAGAGAATCAGCAATTGTGCGTTCCACTAAAGTCACTGATGACCCGTCGTCAAGAAAGGCAAACGTGTTGACCTTGCCGTATTTTCCGTATAGTGTGACAGGAAGTACTCGAAATAGTGTAAGTGGAGCTGATTTCTGATGCACAGTTACCGTAGCATTCGTTGTCCGGTCGGTTGTGCTTGAGTCCGCCGATGGTTCGTAGTGCAGCAAACGATGATGTAACTTGGAGCATCCGTTAACTCCGCATGCGTCTCCTTTGCATGGCCAACGAGGATGTGGTTTCAGACACCGTCGGCAAAGTATGTGCTCCTTCACAATGCTCCAACGGTTATCAAGAGCGAGCCCCTTAAATTTTGAGCACTCACCAACTTGATGATTTAGCGCATTACAGGCTGAGCATTTCTTGATATCTTCAGGTCTCTTTCCACTCGCATTCACGTATCGTTACTTCCTTCCCGCACTATTATCTGCATTGGCCGCCGACGTGGAACCGTCTCTCGTCGTCGTCGAGTTCGCGTTCACGAAAACTTTCTCCTTGGTTCTAGCACGTTCATCTCTGGGATTCTTCGGTTGAACTGTGAATAGCGACACACTGCTGGTTGCTGATGCTACACGGGTCATGTTTGCACTGAAGACATTGAGATCCACCACCGGAAACTGTTGTTGATACATCGCCCAGTTGAACTTAACGTTCGCTGGCAATTTATCTACAAGCTCCTGTAGCAATGTGGGATTCAAGCTCGTTTTCACCGATCGTGATACTGCCGGTTGTAAGGTCAATATCGTTGAAGTTAACAGGCTCGTTCTCCACAGGGAAAGATTCTAGCATTTCGCATTGGATAGGAGTGGAAGTTCGTTGCTTGTCTGGAGCTTCGACCGAATTTAATGGCGTATGGGCATTTGGTTCGACTGGCTTGGACGTCTCTACAACGACGCCGGTACCAGTATGGCTGGTTGATTTCACCTGCTTCATTACCCAATCTTCCACTCGTTTCGCCGATGATCGGTTCGAACGATGACTCCTAAGAAACGCTATTTCGTCTTCCTCCTCTTGCTGGATGAGCAAATCGCGCTTTTTGGCAAGATAGTGCCTATCCCGTTCGATCCTCTCTTTTGCAACCCTTTCGTTAATCAGCCTATCTCGTTCTAGCTGTTCCCGTTGAGCTTCTTCCTGCATCCTTTTCTCTTCCTCCAGCAATTCCAACTCACGAGCCAATCTAGCTCTCCGTGTACTCGAAGTACTTGATCGTCCAGTGACAGAGGTCGGTGGTTGTGCAGGATTACGCGCGATGCATGTAACATACGTAAACAAATCTGTGAGCATTATCTCGTTGCTCATTTCAGCAGAAGTGAGGTGATACCATTTGGTACACTTTTTGCACTGCACCCTATAACGTTCGGCGTTGTTGCGATCACACTCTTTTGCTTCTCCATTATCGACATCGACCGCTGACGTCACACGTCTAGCTTCCGCAACTGTCTTCTCTCCGCGAGCAATGCCAGCCATTGTTGCCTCTCGTGCATTGTTAGACGCTGGAATGGTAGAATTACCCTGAACGACGCCATGGCTCTGCTGGTTAGCCGCAGCTGCTGCCATTTGTTTGGCTTTCGTTTGGGCACGCGTTCTCCGGGTCATTTCAAGATAAAATCTTGAGTTTTTGTTCGCTTTAGTTCGGAGTCTTGTAGCAAAACTCTTTTTTTGTGTTTGTAGTAGTTGTTGCTCAAGATTTTAGTCTCCGCTTAGTTTTAAGCGAACAAAAATTATTTTTATAAGTAGACTTAGGTATAAATAGAAGAACTAATGATACTAATATACTAGAACTAATGATATTCCACATTCACTTTGTACGAAATGTAAACTTTTAGTCTGTCATCGCTACATCTTCATGACATGACATGGCTGTCATCTAAACGTCACCGCGGTCATCTGCGAGCTTCTGTGAATATCTCCTACGGATCCGTATTTCTGCAAAATTCAATCAAACCGACGTCACTGACTTGCATCTGCATTGTTTTTATTCAATACAGCTGATGTGTTGACAGATCGAGGGAAAAGCAAACTAATGAAGAAAATGCATGAACGAGGGATGCTCTGGTTGCAAACCAATTCTTGGTAATGTGCAAGATAGAGGGTGCTAATGTGCATACAAAATACACTTGATGATATTTTTTAAGACTTTCATTTCAAGAGTTATGTCTGTTTTTCTGTGCTAGTGGCGTATAAAAATGTCATTTATTCAAATTAGGACAAAAATAGACGCACAAATTAGTTCAGAGTTTTAGTGTAGTTGGACATTTCAAAACGAATAGCACAACGGGGATCAGCGAACATGTTCGTACAGTAGGCCTTGCCGCTTTAGTGTTTTCTGTTACACCCCTGATGTATTGCAAGCAGGGCTGTGGAGTCGGATTTAAATCGACCGATTCCGTCTCTGACCCATCTGATTTAAAAATAACCGACTCCGACTCCGATTTGAACAAAATACAATAAAAATGAACTTCAACATATTTTGGTTGATTAAGTATTTAAGGGGATAGGGGACGAAGATCATTTTTCAAAAATTAAAATGCCGTTGATTTGCTTCAAACCGAAAATCTGTTAATAAAAGTGTGTTCACTGTGTTCCGGTTGGCAAAGATAGGTTAGAATAGGTTTCTTTATTAAAGATGCTTTCAACACCGGTTGGCAAATACAATACAATGAATACATTTTCATGAAATAAATGTTTGAAAACAGCAGTTTTAATTTAGTTGCTTAGTTCGCTGCTTCAAATATTTTCTGTATTGAAACACATTTAGTTAATAAATTGAATTCAATACAATAAAACATGCTACGTATTTTGGAAAATCATGGAATATATTTGAGTAAAAAAATTCTTAAATTTAAAGGCTTTGAAAATTAAAATTTAATAGTTTTTTTATAATGTAAACAAATGTATGTTTACTGATGATACAAATTTTGTCAGGTGAAAATTCCAAGCGTAATCATTCTAGTGATTTATTTTGTATATTCTGGAATGTCTGAGCTGAACTATATTTTTAAAACATTGACTGACCATATAATAGTGCCAATAATCATTAAAAAGTCTCAAATATTTACGTTATTTGACAAGTCACAGGTAATCATGAAATTTACTTATAAAAAGCAAATAAACAACGGAAAGAAACCTACTGCTTTTATTAAAATTTTCTTAAGAAACTTCATTAAAAGCTTATTATTTGGAAGCTTTTTTTAGAAGATTTTCCTTTATAATTTTCTTTTAGAACTCTCTAGAAAAAAAAACACGGGCAGGACAGTAAATCGTAGAGACTTGATCTCAACTTTTTATCAAAAAAAGGCCTAAACTGTTAATGAGATTAATTTAAAAAGATGTCAAGCTCAAATTCCAAAGAAATATCTATATTGGTATTAGTTTCAATGATACAAAATCGGTCACATTTACTATAGTCACTTTAACACTATTGGGTCATTCGTGACTTGTCGGGTGAGATTTGAACTTGGAATTTGGCGTGATATTAACCATTACGCCGGAGTCGCCCCCTAAAGCATCAAAATATTTATCGAAATTAACCACAGCTTCTATCCGTATTAATCACAAATCCTAGTGTGATCGATTTCATTTACATTAAATTAGCAATCAAATATTTTCACAACATTTGACAATTTATTACGAAAATGAACAGAATTTCTCATAAGCTTGTCACAATTTTTTAAAACAAATCATAATGTTGTTTCAAATAAATTGGTCACAATCCTAATTAAAATTGGTCCCAACTGGGAAATTTGATATATAAAAAAGATTGTCAAAGTCTTATTCACTTATTTCAGCAGTCTTATTGAAACATTAATAAAACAAAATTTAATGTTATTTTCTGGATGTGGATCTTGTCGTTTCATGTTTTTTTAAGTCTCAAAAAATAAAATCCCATTTCTGAAATTTCATGTACCTTGGAAGATTTTCATATAAGTTCATACTTTGACGATTATGCGCTCAATAAATCACGTCCGACTGAACCCAAATTTTGCATAGGGTTGTATTTCGAGGCAATGAACATGTTGTATATGGTCGATTCGAAAAATTCGATGGTCACTTTTGTCCCCTTACATTTCATTTTGCACCCTAATTAACACGGCCGCTGAGAATAACTCAGTGAGAGAGTCCTTTTTACTCAGTTGTATGAGAAATTTTTAAAAACTTTCTGTAGCCTAGACCGGACTAGACATCAAATAATCACTGATAATACCTACCGGATGGAAACGCCTTGGGCTATCATGTATTGAGACGATGTGCGTGATTTGGTAACGATCTAACTGTTGATAGTCTTTCGAATCCCGATAGTTGCCTACGTACAACCCCGGCATTACCTGAAAGAAAAAGAGAATACACCGATCGAATCCCAAGGCAAATCATACAGAATTGAGGTAATGCACCGAAATCCGAACACTTTTAAAAGTTGATAATCAAGGCCAAATATGATCAATCGTAATTGTTATGAGGACCCTATAGCGTTGGGTATGTTCATCTAATAAATTATTATGTTTCCAAGTGGATGTAATATTTAATTAAAACTGTTCGGTATTCGGTGCATTACGGTAGCACCCCATTTATTTTCCCAATCCAGTCGTTTTTCATTCATCCAATTATCCTGTCATCAAGCTCAAAATCCAATCTACTCGTTTACAAACAAGGTCAGTTCAGTTGTTCTTTCTTTTGGCTCCCGACAAGCAATAACGAGTTCATTACCTTGTTCATTCCATTACCCATGATGACGGCTGTAGCTCCCTGCTTTTATCTATCAGTGCTTTTGCTCCTGCTGCTGCTGTCGACTACTTCTCCCAGTCCGAAAGAAGTGTCCACAGAGAGGGATGTTTATGTATGCGCTCGGTATTCCAAAGCTTCCAACAAATGCTACTATGAACAAACATCAACATCAACAACAACATCAACAACAACAACGACAACGGTAACGACTCTATTATTGTACACTAGTAGGATGTGCTCCTTGCTGCGGACAAACATGTTTTCCTCTCCGCCTCGTCAGGAACAGAATGGGATCATCATCCGATGCCTCGGCGGTCGGAGCGTACTCAACCGGGATCGTCATTTGGTCGGACTCGTGTTATTCCGATTCCGATTCCAATCAATGCCAAATATGGTTCACAATCGAAACCCTCAAAGCGACTACGTATCTATCTATCGGGGGAATCAGGAAGCAAACAATCACGACGGCGCTGAGCCAAATTTCACCGGCAGCGGCAGGTGGATTTGATGTTGGATGATGGAACGTCGTGGGCCACAACTCGTGGCTTTGTGGCTAAATTTAGCTGAAAGAGGAACGAAAGAAGGAGGAGAATTATGGAAAAGCAGAGTCATTTTTCATCAAGCATCGGAGATTGGTTCAGTGGTGTCAGATTGTCGTCGAGTGTTACGTGACTGTAGTAGAGGAAAGGCGGAGCGCTATTTTAAGTGCTAGTATGCTTTTCAAAAGTGGATTTCTACGAGACTGGGTGACGCCGGCATTGATGGGTAAGATGAAAAGCATGGCGACAATCAGCAATGAATGTTTCGAAGGAGACGCATGGCGGCTTGTAGGTATGATGTGCTTGTGCGGTCAGCGATGTGCATGTGGAGTAGAGTAGGGTTCCTCTAAATATAAAACACATGAACAATTCTCTGCCAAATGAGCAAACGACCCAGCTCGACCCTCTCCCATTTGGATGAAACTTTTCACATGTCTTCGATTTTCATGTTGATTTTAACGAACTTGTATGCAGTGTTGTTTGAGGTAAATTTCAAAAGAATGCTATGGTGAGATTCAAAATTGTTCCTTTCATCATATTTGGAGAACTCTTGAAATTCTGAGGATCATTTCAAGGAATTCACGAAACCACTCCATGAAAATTCTGAGCAGGGAATTCCGAAATTTATTCCATATGAATTTTAGAGGAATACTTGGTAAATACTGAGGAGAAATCAGGAGAATCATAGACGCAAGATCGTGAAAAATTAACCAAGTGCCAAAACCTTTCTCTTCAAAAACAATTTCTGAAGATTGAACCACTTATCCCGAATATTGTGAAAAAAAAAGGATGCATCGATCAAGGTACAACTTTGAGTTCTTAAATATTTTAAGTCTTACAATGTCGATATTTTTAGTCTCAGAATTTTTTCAGAAATTTTTTCTTAGCCTGTCTTCAATTTTTCCAAGCACATATTCACAATATTTTTTGAAGTACCAGGGTCTTGGATTTTTCCCAAAACCTCGATCCAGAATCCTTTTTGAATTCACCAGGACTTTCAGGAATTCAGATTTTATCACATTTTTTTTTCAAAACCTCTTTTTTTCTTGAAATTTTTTCCAGAATTTTTTAAAATTATTCTTTTGAAATTCTCTTAAAAATGTTTGAAGCATAAAAATCTTGATTTGTGGTTATCCAAGTACGTTGCAAATTTTCTATTTTTATAATTTTTTTTTTTCGAATCTGGGAATTCCCATTGAAGCATGCATATGAATAAAATTTCTTAGTAGAAGAATCTCAAATAAAACCTCTGAGCCTCAGAATTTTCAAAATACCTGCCTATCTAAAATAATCTGAAGCTCAGAATCGTAATGCTTTTTCATAGCCTATAATCTTAAACAAATCTTATTCGTGATTTTGTTTTTCCTAGGTATAAGATTTATCTAGTTCAAGATTTCAAATTCAGTTTCTATGATCAATCACACCCCAAAATTTGTTCGAATAACACAATTAGTCACACTGAGACTTTTGAGACCATTTTGAAAAAAAAAGGCTCCATGATGCAGATGTCAATATTTTGCAAGCTGATGTATGGGATTATAATGTTAAAATGCTTCTATTTCTCAACTTTCCTATTCCAAAAAAATTTGGTTACCCTGTCCAACATCACTGTTTACCTTTGTTTCGTCGCAGTTTTAAATCGCTATTTTTTATTGTTTTTACGTGTCGTTAATCATCGGACGTGGTCGCATGTGAAATTTTGAGCCAAATCTCTCACAATCTGGTGCACAGTTGCTGCCGTGTTTTGTGCTAGTGTATCAGTGATTAGTGATCTGCAAAATTTAGCATATTGTCATTGCTTATTCACACCCGTTCGCTGTCCCTCCCCCGAAGCGCCATCTGCAAGCAAACGTTGGAAGCTTCAACAAATCGTGCATAATTGCCAAGCATGCTCGCGGTCCTTGAGTTCTGGAAGAGTAATTAAGTGCAGGGGTTCATGGAGTCTGGTCACACATGCGTGGGATTAACCAAGATCCAATATGTAGCATGGTCAGCAAATTTTGGGCTTTACTGGTTCTCTGATTCATGTCGTTTGAATTTCAATCCTGCTGTTCACGATCGAGAGAAAATAATCATGAAGGCGCTACGGGAACTGTTGATAAGAACGGACTCAATGGACACACGTCTAGGAAACTACGGTGATAATCTGCGTGCTATCAACAAAACTCTTTTTGGACCACAACAACAAGTCAAACAAACAAACCAATCGATCGATCAGTCGTCATTTCATCAGACCATCGATCAGCTGAACCTCGACGACACTATTGATCACATCAATCGCTCGAGATCCTGCGATGAGACATCCTTTTTTGAAGTCTTGGATGAGATCAACAACACAGTAGCTCAACAACCTGACAAGCTTCTGGGGGGAAACAGGCGCGTCCAGATAATTCCCAGTCAGCCATCCAGCAGTTCTACTACTCAATCGAATGGTCCAACTAACAGCGAACCCCAATCTCTCACCCAGCCGAATACTGACAATGCTAGCCAGCGTAGTACCAGCAAAGCCACCACCCTGACTAAGAGTGGGAACACGAACCACCCTGGTGGTAACAGGAATAGTACCGGGCCTTTGAGCGTAGCAAGATTAGGCCTGACGTCTGACGACACGGTAGCTTTTTATGTGACCCCGTTTGCCCCCAACCAGAAAGAGGACGACGTAAAACAGCATATCTTTGATATTGCAAATGTTGATTCTTCGTCGGTGAAAGTTGTCAAGCTAGTTCCTCGTGGGAAACGTTTGGACGATCTATCATTTGTTTCCTTCAAGGTGTTCGTTTGCAAAACTGTATCCAACGTGGTGGGTGATCCTTGGTACTTGCCAGAAGGAGTCACTGTCCGTGTGTTTGAACATGTTCAAAAAAAAAGCGGTTCTGCTGCATCATGTCCGAACCTGCGTGAAAAAAACAATCATCAATCAGCCAGCCTCTCATAGTGGATTTAAAATAAACAGTTCCATCCCGGGATGCAACAACCCAAGCCATTTGGAAGCCCCTTATCCCCCCATCACAGTCGTGTCTCTCCGGCCAGCGCTCAGCAGTCATCCTGGACCTGTGTATGGGTACGGAGACGGGGTCTTCCAACCAGTTACCACAGGCAAGTATGCTCACGTTACGAACTATGCACTTCCTGAATCGTCTATTGCTTCCAGTTGCTTCATACCACCACGTTTTCGTGTGGAAAACAATATTGCCAGCGTTCGGGGTCAACCCGATCAACAAATTGCATCGCTTGGAATCAAATCAAAACCAAATCCGTCTGAACAGTTCATCTCTATTTATTATCAGAACGTCAGAGGCTTACGGACCAAAATTGTTCAGCTATGCTTACTACTGTCTGGCTGTGATTATGACGTGCTAGTTTTCACAGAGACTTGGCTACGAGAAGACATCGGCAGCGCTGAAATCTCTTCGGATTACACCTTATTCAGATGTGACCGCAGTGAATTGACCAGTCAGTACTCGCGTGGAGTAGGAGTGCTCGTCGCGGTCAAAAACAACATCGTTTGTGAACCTGTCACTTTGCCGAACTGCGACCAACTGGAACAAGTGGCAGTTTGCGTAAGGTTGGGGCATCGTTCGCTTTACATCGTCACCATTTACCTTCCGCCGAATTCATGCTCCGACTGTATTCAGCTCATGCAAAAGCAGTTCAGCATATGTCAATCCGTTCTTCAGAAGGTGACATTATTCTATCACTGGGTGACTTTAACCTGTCGAATTTGCGCTGGCATTTGGATGGTGATATAAATGGCTATGTTCCCTCAAACGTTTCTTCGGAACACGAACAATTCCTTATCGAAAATACGTTTGTTAATGGCTTCCAGCAGATAAACTGTTTCGTCAACATGAACGGTAGACTTCTCGATCTCGTGTTCGTCAACCTACCTGAGCACCTAGACGTCATCGCACCCTCTACTCCACTGTTACCCGTTGACAATCATCACGAGCCATTCATTTTACTACTCGACAAGAGCAGCGACGATCTGGCTGCAATGGACGACCAAGACGAGAGTTTCAACTTCGATTTTAAAGCATGCGACTACGATCTCCTAAACAACGCGTTTGCTGGTATCGACTGGGATCTTCTACTGCAGAACAGAACAGTGGACGAAACACTTGCAGTTTTTTATGACAAGCTGTACGAAGTTTTTATCGAGCATGTATCTCGGAAAAGACGACCCATTACCTCAGTTTTCAGCAAACCATGGTGGACTACCGAGCTGAGACATCTCCGGAATAATCTCAGGAAATCACGCAAACGGTTCTTCTTAACAAGGACTGATAGCGACAAAGTTAACCTCCGCGAAGTGGAAACGTCGTACAAGGAACTTCTTTTCTCGTCATATAGAAACTATGTATCGGTATGTATTGCTTGTGTGAAACAAAACCCTGCAAATCTGATAAGTTATTCTAATAATTCAATTTTGATGGGGATTCCCTCTGGCTACGCACGCTCATATGTATAGCAATGAACAACAGAATATCTAAAACAATCAGATGTATAGTAAAAAGTAGTAATCAATATGATGCACATAAATGGAGCATCACATATCACATATCAAACTTTTTTTAATCGACCTTCTCAGATTTGTATTTGCGTAATTGCTTGTTTCACATGTTTGCGGCCATTCGGCTATTTTCCCAGACAACCAGAATGCACGTATATTGAAAGTTGTTTCTGTGATATACAAACATATATACAAACAAACAAATCGTATAGAATGCAAAAAAAGGGCCTATACCTACAAAAGTGGAGGCTATATACGTGAAAATTTTAATTTCTTTTTAATCGAGTTGATTTGACATTATTTACGATTTAATCTGTAGTAACAAATTCATTTTGAAAAGCCTTACGATATAATCCAATTTAATTTGTGATACAGTACGATGGAAAAATGATTCATCGCATATAAGTCGGAAATTTGCATTCTATACGATTTAACTTAAACATATTACGATGTATGTCATACTTGTATGCGATGTTGACTTAAACTGTAGTTATTTACAATACTGTCTGTACAT